CCTCCTACTAATCTCGTTTTTGTTTTTTTTTTCTTGAAAATATCGCTTCTGGTCTAGAAAGAAGGAAGTAGAAGAAGCTAAAATCATCAGCAGTCGGACAGTCAGGTTTCGCAATCTAGCGATTAATAATCGTGTAAAAACTGCTGATGATATTCAATGACGCGAAGCTACGCTACGATAAAATGAAAGCTTATGAAAATACCAAAATCAAAGATCAGAAAGTTGAAATTTCCTCCCTCCCCTCATTTTTTTCGCAAAATCAGAGACAGTCGGGAGCAGCTCGAATGATAGAATGTGCCAAAATTGGCCATCGCTGGAAAGACCGTCGATGGTTTCGTTTTAGAAAGCATGAAAAAGTGTTTTGATCAGATTTTCCAAATTTTTTTATTAAAAAAAATTTCGATTGAGATTTCGATTGAATTTTCATTGAATTTTTAGAAAATGGTAACTGAATTACACGCGATGCTAGAAAGGCCCAGTTACACGACGATTTCTCGAGAAACAGAGGGCGAGGAGTCAACAATGTTCAGGTGGGAGTTATTGCTTTGGAGCTTTGTTAAGTCTGTTTTTTATGCATAAATTTTACTGTGTAACAGCAGTACAAGACGCATATTGTCACGGGATTGTCTGTGTGGGTGTTTATATGTATGTGTGTGTTGTGTGTATGTGTGTGTTGTGTGTATGTGTGTGTTGTGTGTGTGTTGTGTATGCGTGTGTTGTGTGTATGTGTGCGTGCGTGTGTACGTGTGTGGGCGTGTGCGTATGTATGTGTGCGCGTATGTGTGTGCGTGTGCTTGTGTGTGCGTGCTTGTGTGTGTGCTTGTGTGTTTTTCCGATTTATTTTGTTATAGCCCAGTCTGGTGATTTATTAGAGCTTTTTCTTTTGCTTATTAACGTATTTTTTTTGCTCAGTAAGCACATATGGTGCATAAGGTTTTCCGAATAAAGATTATTACTGAATTCATAAGCTTCCACAGTTACTTAATTTTTTATCATATGGTTTTTTCCTTTGCTAGTTATTTGCTTACTTATAAATATTGGTTGTCTTATAAGTATTTAGCTCTATGATTTAATTGTTTCTCGGTCTGTATTTACAGCTAAGGGATGAAACACAGAACTTATCACATAGCAAAATGCCCTTCTGCGCATGATACTTAAGACCAACCCTTCTATTCTACTATATAACGCACTGTTTGCACACTTACCTCGTTCATAAACTAAATTTTTTTTGTTTTGTAGTAAAATCTTCTTTTTTTGACTTATATAGGGATTGTTCAGGTCGAAATTTCAAGGCTGGGATGATATTGTGCCTTTTGATTTTACGCGAACTGCCGAAAGTGTACAGAGGAGAGGAGCCGACTTGAAGGTAAGAGAAGTTTTTCCTTTCTCTTTTTGAAAATAAATCAGATTTCCCTTAAAAATCGTAGAAATGAATAGATATTGAATGAGAGCGAGTTCTTTCGGTTCTTGAATAAAGAGTTTTCAGACCAAAGTTTATTTTCCTTTTTTTTTCTTTTTTTTTATAAAAATGGTTTAAATTTTTTCGCTGATTCAAAGAAACAAAATTAATTTTGGCACTTGAGGGCTTTGTGGGTTTTTTTTTTCAGGTGATAATGGAGCGTGATAAAATCAAGACCGATTTGGCTCCGCTGTTTCTGCCACGGCAGCCAGCGATGAGTGAGGAGGAAGCGAATCAGTTGATGGAAGAATGTAACGAAGATCTGGAACTTCTCGAACCTTTTGTTCTGGTATGTGACTGGGCAGATTTTTTACCTTTTATAGTGAAATAACGGCTCACATTGTCGTTTTATTAGTGGTAGTTTTAGGTCTGCCTGAATGAGAGTTGCTGGGATTGACAAATTCTTTTCGGAGTTTTTTAAATGTTATTTTATACTATGGATAATTGGGAATTTCGAGCGGTATAGCTCAAAAATTATTTGAAATTGCTTTGTCGGAAAATCCTTGTTTACTTCAAAAAGGATATTTTATTTTGTAACGTTCAGGTGGAGGACCCAGAGCTGGGATGCCTGCCTGACTGTGGGGAAGCACTCCGGCAGTTGAGGGGATGCACTCAACGCCAAGCAACAAGACCTACTTCTTTATTAGTACAATCTTAAACAAATCAAAAGGAGTAAACGAATCGCAGAAATCGTCCGGTAGCAGCTCCAAGCTACGGCCGAGCATCTCCAGATTACATAAGACAATAGAATTACAATAACAATAACAATTTTATTTCCAATCATCACATTAAATATCACGGAGGGGGGAACTCGAGCCCAGAGATGGGACATTTGCATATTGCACGAAACGGAAGGGCAACTGGACAAGGCGAAGGGGATTTAGCCTCCATCTTCGCTTCCATGTTACTCACTGCTTTTTCCTTTTGCAACAATTTAGATAAACTGTTTTCATTTTGTATTATGTATCTTTTCCTTCAATTTTGTTTCCCAATTTTGTGTTTTCTCAATATTCTCAATTTTATTTTCTCAATTTTGTATTTCTCTTAATTTTCCAAATTTTTCAAGAAAGAGGATTCATTCATTTTCATTGTGTAAAAGTTCTGAAATTCGGAAGATTTTTCTTTTTTTTTCAATTTATAATTTACAAAAGTTTGTAGGAGGGAAAGAAATTTGTGCGATTACCACAAGAAGAGCTGGGCACATTTTACACAATGGATTGCTATGTATTTCTTTGTCGTTATGAAGTAATACCGGAAGATGATGAGACCGATTTGGAGGAGGAGGAGGATGAGGAGGGGGAGGAAGAATCCGAAGCAGAGATTGAGAGAAGTAACGCCGGCGATTCCATACAATTGCACAGACGCAAGGTTTTTTTCTTTACTTTTTACTCATTATTTTTCTGAATATTTGAAAATAATAAGTACCTTTATTCAAAAAAAAAAAAAAAAATTGAGGCCAGAAATAAAAGCGATTGCTAAAAAAAAGTACGTAGATTATCGAAGTGATTCTTATGTCTGACATGTAATTTTTGTGAAAATTATGCATGCATACGTAGGTCATTTTTTAATCCAGGAGGGGGTTGTTATCTTTTTTTTTATGAAAATTATGTTTTTGTTAAGGAGCCAGAAGAGGCGCATGGGCAGAAACAGAAGGGATTTTTAGGAGCAAACACACACCATAGATCATCGAATTGATCCACATGTCTGACATATGATTTTTTATGAAAATTATTCTCTTCCACTTCTAAGGCAATGATTTTGTAGCCCAAAAAAAAAGTTTTCATGCATCAAAGTCAAGCACGACAGAAGATTGTAAGATTCACCAAACTCAAACCGTCCGAATTTGTCATCACCAGTACCTACATGTGGACGAGAAACATCCCTTTCAAATTCCAGCCTTCTAACTTTTCAGGTCTCCGAGTTAGCAACTTACCCGCAAAAAAACTTTCAAGAGTGCCTACTGCTGGTTTTTGCCGCGGATACCCGAGGTAGGGAAAGGGGTAAAATATTGCCTGCTCCCACAGTGCTCTTATAGTGAGGATGGGCTAAGATGTTGATTTGTAGGTAGGATTTGGGGTAGAGGAGGGCAAGTCAGGAGCTCGAGGCAACATGGGAACCACGCATACCTGTGAGCATAGTGAAAGTTTTTGTTCAGGAACCAGAAGAAGTGCAAGAAGATTTCAAGTGTGTTGTATATTTCTGGCAAGGTCGCGATGCAAACAACATGGGCTGGCTTCATTTCACATTCAGTTTACAGGTTACTGCTATTTGTTTTTTTTTTTATGTTCCCTTTTTACGTTCGTGGAAAATTTGCTTCTTAATTTAAGCGATCATCATCGTCATAGAATCTTTAGCGAGTTTTGTACAAGGCAATAGTGGAGCATGTTAGAATAAATATCCACTATAAATATCCATGATGTTAAAGATGTGAGGTTCAAAAAGAAACCCTAAATTATGTCTTTTAATATATTTTTATGCGTTTTGTGCAGTGTAACAGCAGTACAAAACGCATATTGTCACGGGGTTGTATGTGTGTATGTATGTATGTGTGTGTGTGTGTGTGTGTGTGTGTGTGTGTGTCCGCAGCAACTTGTTCTATTTGTTAATTTGTAATTAAAGATCTAAGCCAGGACCTTTTTTTTTTATAGCGCCAACTTTCCAAAAATATATTCCTTACAGCAATGTTAAAATCTGCAATGGGAGACGACGTTTCGCCTTATCCTACTCGAAAATCTGCCTCAAAAAAATGAAATTCATTAAGCAAATTCAGCTCTAATTTTAATCTCTTGTACAAAAAAGCAATTGTTTTTTTTTCTCTTCCATTATTGAGTAATTGGAAATCATTTTTATTATTGTTTGTTAATTTTCAGAAGAAATTCGAGGGGCTTTTTAAAGACAAGCTTGAAGTTGTTCGCATGTACCAGCAGCAGGAGAATCATAAATTCCTGTCGCATTTCCACAAAAAATTTGTTATCCGACGTGGTCGTCGAGGTCTCACGCTGAATCTTGGAGGTTTGCTTTTTATTTTACTCTAATTTTCTACTGATAGTTTATGCAAGTGAGACGTGCTAAGAGGTACCACACGTAAATCAAACAGGTAATTGTTGCTATCTAAAGGTACGATCACAGGGTGGACTGGAGCATAGGTGGACCCAGGACGGCTTCCTGGGGAGAGGGGAGGGGAGGGGGCGATTTTTCACCTCACCTTTTTCCTTCGTCACCACAATCCCCCTCCCCCCGGTCCTCCCACTACACCCCTTCCCCTCGAAGATTCCTGAGGAGAGAGGGGGAGGACGATTTTTCACCTCACCTTCCTTGTCACCACAACCCCCGTCGGCCTCCCAGTACACTCCCTCTTGAAAGCTCCGGGGAGGGGGAGGGGGACACGGGGTTCCAAGTAGACTTTTCTACAGTAAAATACTTGCTACTTAAGCCCCCGGGGG